GGGCCTGGCGTGCTCTGGTCCATGGGCTCACGAGGAGTCGGACACGACTAAATGACTACAACCAAATTAGTAATTGCATGGTTTTGAGGAATCAAATAGATCTCAACTTGTATCTGGACCACAACAGAATAAAAGGTTTACGTCTCCCATCCCCTAGCTGTCACTGTCCCAGCCTGGATGAGACAGGATAGTACTTATAACTAATATATACTTTAAAAACATGCACATTTATTTTATACTTGTTTTGGCTCTTAAGAAAACCATCAGACTGATTTTCACTTGCTTTCAGCTATCTAGCAACTATGATACTGCATGCTTCCAGACTGCATCTTTTACTATGCAACCAACCTGCCTTATTCAAAGAAGCATATTCAGAATGTACACCATCAACCTAAAGCTCTTCACTGTAGAAAGGGGGACTTATCACCAAAATGGCTTTGGATGGGTAATGGTAAGAGACCTCCATATGGAAGTATCCTTTGGCTGTAAATATCATATTTGCCCTTTTTGGCAGGTGTTTTAAAGTCCTGTGAAAATAAGCTGTGCAAATTACTCATGGAGTAATCTATACAAAGAAGAAAATGTTGTTCTTCTTCTTCTTAAAGATATACATCCAGTAACAATACCTTTTCAGGAACAAAATCCTCTTCTGCTGTCTCAGGAGCCAAATAAAACACATCATATGATCCTAAAGGTAATAAAAATAAATACATTTTATTTAGGTCATAAGGTAAAGGAACAGCTTAATAAAATTAGCAGCATGCATTTACCTTTACTACTGGGTGGAACAAACAGGACACTTCCATCGTAGTTAATCACCACATAATCTAAACATAAATATGCTGGGGAAAAATACAAAACAGAAATATTAGAATTGCTAGGAAACTTGCAAGGATTTGTGTAAACTTTGACTGGGTGATTAATTAAAAAGTATGAAGAAATGTAGAATTTTGAAAGATCAAGTGAATGCTCTGAATTTCCTATCTGGAATACTAAAATGTGTTACATATAAGTTGCTTCTGTACTAATGCAAACGACAACTGCAACAGAATTTTAATTGGAACTTAGTGCAATTAAAAGCTAAAATGTGTTACATATAAGTTGCTTCTGAAGATAGTTTTAATATTTTAACTAATGTAGAATACTAATGCAAACTACAACTGCAACAGCATTTTAATTGGAACTCAGTGCAATTAAAAGGGGACATGGTGGTGCTGCAGGTTAAACCACAGAAGTCTCTGCGCTGCAAGGTCAGAAGACCAGCAGACGTGAGATCGAATCCACGCGATAGAGCTCCCATCGCTTGCCCCAGCTCCTCGCCAACCTAGCAGTTCAAAAGCATGTACAAATGTGAGTAGATCAATAGGTACCACCTCAGTGGGAAGGTAACGGCGTTCCGTGTCTAGTCGCACTGGTCACGTGACCATGGAAACTGTCTACGGACCAACGCTGGCTCTACGGCTTGGAAATGGGGATGAGCACCGTGCCCTAGAGTCGGACATGAGTGGACTAAATGTCAAGGGGAACCTTTATCTTTAGTGCAATTATTGGTCCTTTCCGCCACCACTGGTGCCCAATTAATTCCTGGGCCCAATCCAAAGTGTTGTGTTTTGTTTAACTTATAAAATTCTACACATCTTGGCAGGGCTGGAAACTCAAGTCGCATGGCTCACTGTCAAGTCAGACTCAAGTCGCACTGGCAACTCAACGCACAACTTGGACCCATTTTTCTGAGTGGTGTTTTTGAGTTCCAGATAGATTAACAAAGGACATCATAAACCGGGAAGAAGCTTCGCGACACCCCCCTGAAGGTGCAGGAAAGGCAGGCAAATGCCAGCAAACAGCAGAGGAGATGGTAGCGACAGGGAGGAAGAGTTGAGAGTGTGGGGTGTAAGGGTGAGGGAAGGCAAGGCAGATGGGACCAAAGTGCATGATTCACAAGCCTCCACACACAGACCCCATATAGAACCCACCCACCTCTCCCTTTCTTCTGGAAAACAAAGCTTGTTTTAATAGGGACTTGGGACTCAAGACTTGGTATGAAAAATTAGGACTTGGACCCAGAGACTGGCCAATACCCCTGCACCTCAGGATCTCAATTCTTGACATACCTCCTGCTTCTTTATGTACATAATGGTCACCTTGGTTAAAAATACTAATGCTAATTTGCCTCAGAACAGTGAAAGCTGGCACACAGGCTAAGGTTTTATGATTTGAGAATCTGAACTTCGGAAGCCCTGTTTGAAAAAACGGTCTTTGCTGGATCTCATGAGCCTCTGATCCTCTTCTCCTCTCACGCAGCTCTTATACATGGATGCCTGCACAAAAAGCTTTCAGAATTTACAGCAGGAAGCCATTGTGTTATTTTTCAGCACACTAATTTACCCCTCACTCATCTGGGCCTCAAATGGTGGTACTCATGGAATGATAAAGTACGCCTTTCATGCTGATAATGAAATATATTAATTTAAAGGGAAGTAATGAGGCTCCTACCTGGATAATCTGAGTATGTTTCCAAAGTAAGTAAACATTCATGGCATAAAGCCCAGAGCTCATAGTCTTTCAGTGGTTTACCATACTGTGTTAAGAGATGTTTCAGAAAAACACACTGCAAAGAAAATGTTAAGGAAAATTAAGAGAGGAAAAGCAGTTCTCAACTGAAAATGACACTTTAATTTAGTTTAATACATAGTTGTTGCATACATTATGAGGACATTCCACAGCTCTAGATAATCACTTCTCTGGTATATGGCTTCCTCCAAATATGTACAGAATTTCGTAGCTTTCTAAAGAGTCAAAGCTATCAGAATGTTTATTTCCTAATGGCATACAAAAATACTTTTCTCCTCAAAAAAAATTGAAAAGAGAGGTATATAAATATCTGGGGGAAGATCACAATCTATCTCCAAGGTTCTCAGTGTAGCTGTTGCTGGAACAAAAATAATAGCTGAAATCCAGTAATAAGTCACAACTCAAGTATGCCCACAAAACCATTGGGGATTTGGTGACTCAGCTTCTCCATACGTCCAGTTGATTCAGAGGGCCTGTTTGAGTTGTCACTACTGGATATCAAATCTATATCTATACAGTGGTGCCCTGCATAGTGATGTTAATTCGTTCCAGGATTAACATCGCTATCCGGAAATATCGCTATGTGGGGGGGAGTCACAACTCAAGTATGCCCACAAAACCATTGGGGATTTGGTGACTCAGCTTCTCCATACGTCCAGTTGATTCAGAGGGCCTGTTTGAGTTGTCACTACTGGATATCAAATCTATATCTATACAGTGGTGCCCTGCATAGTGACGTTAATTCGTTCCAGGATTAACATCGCTATCCGGAAATATCGCTATGTGGGGGGAAGGGGAAACCCCATAGGAACGCATTAAACTCTGTTTAATGCGTTCCTAAGGGGACAAAACTCACCGTTGAGCGAAGATCCTCCATAGCGCCGCCATTTTTGCTGCCTCGGTAAGCTAGGGCAGCACGCGAAAAAGCTGCGGGTGGCCATTTTGTGTACGTGGTGGCCATTTTGGAACCGCCGATCAGCTGTTTTCTAAACATCGCAATGCGAAGATCGGTAAGCAAAACGCTTACCGATCATCGCAATGCGATGTTTAGCCTATCTAAACATCGCAATGCGATCGTAAAACCGATCACAAAAAACCGATCGCAAAGTCTGCATCGCTATGCAGATTCATCGTTAACCCAAGCACTCGTTAAGAGCTGTTTTACACTGAACAGACAGTCTTAAATTTTTTATTTACAATGGCTTTTCTTTGAAAACACATGTGTACGTGTATTTCGAAAAATGGCTTTAAGAATGTATTAATGTAGAAATGATATTATACTAATTGATACATCTAAGATGTATTATGTTTTGTCTGATTACAAAATTAAATATACTAAACAGACGCTGTGTAAGTCTGATGATCAGGGCTTGAAAAATTCGCTCGTCTGTGACAAGTGAAAAAACTCTGCTGGACAAGCCACAGCTCCCTCTCTCCCTCCTTACCTCCTTACCCTCAGTCCGTCTCTCTCCCTCTGATCCTGCAGTCCTCCCCTCTCCCTTCCCATTGCAAAAGTCCTCCCCTCCCCCTTCCCTCTCACAAGAAGAGAGTCTGAGCAGCATATATTTTATTTCTTTATTTATTTGATTTATATCCCGCCCATCTGGTCTGGTTGACCACTCTGGGCGGCAGATGGGCCGTCGGTGTGCGATCGTATTTGCGATCACTAGAACAGCCTTGTTGTGTGGATTTGTCATTCTACTGTGCACTCGTTGTGCGAGGCACCACTGTGTATGTGTATATATATATATACACATACACAACTGAAAGCTTTTGCTTTCAGTTTTATTTTTGCTGGAGACATTCAAAAGAAAGGCATTCAAAATACAAACTTCATGGCCCCACAAGCACGCAGGTATTTATTTGATTTATATCCCGCCCATCTGTGCTATATGACCACTCTAGGCAGCTTGTGCTAAATTGGCCTAAAAATACTTAATGAGAGGGATTACTTTCTAGCTGTTTTCTTCCACTTTATTCAGTAGTTCAGAATCCCAGCAATGCCACTTTTTACTTTTATTTTTTTAAGTAACAGAGAAACAACTGATAACCTACTGAGGAACTTTGCTAGCCATTAAGGAGATTATGAGAAATGGAGGTCTAACAGTGATTAGGCTTCAATTGAATAGCAAATGTTAGCCACTGTAGATAAATTAAAACCTCCAAATACAGCAGCATTTTAAAGGGACCTTCAACTTCCAAAATAAGCATTAAATCTAGCAAAGGAGAACAGAATCTGAGAGAACAGACATTGTGTTTGTGTCCTTAACAAAACCCTAGGTTTATTCTTTGCAACATATCAGAATCTCTACAACCATATCTGCCATCTCTAAGCTGCCAGTTCTAAAACCTGATCCACTTCGGCAGCTGTGCTTTGTACATTTACATTGTAATCACTCAGAGTTCTCTTGTGGAACAAGAAAAATACGATAATATTCTCCTGGGGTGGTTGCAATCCACAATATTAAACAATAACAACAGTGAACTTCACTGAATATAGTTTACTTCTCCACAAAAAGACAGGTATTATTTATACTTGAGTGTTTCCAGCACCAGATACTAAGTCAGTAGTTGTTGTGGGTTTTTTGGGATCTTTGGCCGCGTTCTGAAGGTTGTTCTTCCTAACGTTTCACCAGTCTCTCTGGCCGGCATCTTCAGAGGACAGGAGTAGCACTAAGTCAGTAGTTTCACATGTTTTCAGGCTCTTTATGCTTACCAACCATAAGTTCAAAAAGATACTGCTGAAGGATGAGTTTAGCAGTTTGGTACTTCTTTGCCATTAAGCCATTTACTTCTACCTCTTTAATTTTTATACCAGACTCTTTTCCTCATGATCAACACTCCTCATCCCCCATTTGCTCACCAAATAAAAGGAAAGAAAGAAGCAGCCTATGACCATAAGAGGAGAACAAACTTATCCAAGGAGAACCAACCTATCCATTCTAAAGGAAATCAACCCTGAGTGCTCACTGGAAGGACAGATCCTGAAGCTGAGGCTCCAATACTTTGGCCCTCTCATGAGAAGAGAAGACTCCCTGGAAAAGATGCTGATGTTAGGAAAGTGTGAAAGCAGGAGGAGAAGGGGATGACAGAGGATGAGATGGTTGGACAGTGTCATCGAAGCTACCAACATGAATTTGACCCAACTCCGGGAGGCAGTGGAAGACAGGAGGGTCTGGCGTGCTCTGGTCCATGGGGTCACGAAGAGTCGGACACGACTAAATGACTAAACAACAACACGGCCATAAGAAAACACCCTCCAAGTGCCAAATACCAATTAACATCCCTCTAACATTCCCTTCCTGCAACTACAGGATGAATTATAAAGACTGATTATCATAGAAAAGTTTTCTTTTTTCCCATAGAATCTACAAATTTAAATTGCCTCTTTAAATTTATTCTATCAAATTCCAGCAAAGGTTGGTTGGCCGTTTGCTGGTGTTTGGATGCAGATCACAAAAACAATCATTAATTTCTGTCACAAAGTGTTTAAAAAGTGGATATGACAAATTCAGGACAAAACAACAGTCTAGGAGTCAAAAAGAACATGGAATAAGCAATTTAGAAAACAACAACTATGGATTTACAAAGCTAACACATAAGGGGAAAGAAACTCTATCCTGCCTTTTCTATAGTCTGCCCATTTTTAATGCTGTTGTATCTTTTTACAGAGAGAAAGGCAGCATTCATTCATTCATTCATTCATTCTTTATTTGAATTTATATCCTGCACCATCTGGCAACCAGGCCACTCTGGGCGGCTAACAACAATATAAAGAATGATATTAAAAACATGATAAAATAAATTAATACATAACGAACAGGGAAATTAATACAGATGGCAATAAAGGTGGTAAAATGGTGGTGGAGAGGATGGTAAAAAGGGAGGGCGAGATCCTAGTGCTCCGGGAAAGCCTGGCGGAAGAGCCAGGTCTTCAGTGCTCTTTTGAACCCATCCAGTGAGGGTGCAATGTGTGACCTGCATAATTAAATAGTTAATTGCGGGGTCAAGGCCCTCAACCGCCCTGCTTGTGAAGAATGGGTGTTACAGACAGATCTGGCTGGGAACAGGCATTCTGATAGGTACCTAGGTCCTAAACTGTTTAGGGCAGTGGTCAGGGAACAGGAGTAAATTACCCCAAATGGGGTAAAAATGAAAATCCTGGGGGTAATGAGGACAGTTGCGGCAGTGTGACCCTCTTCATTACCCCCAGGCATTTTATTTCTGATGATACTGTGTGTAGGTGGACATTCCGTCACAGGGAGAGCGAGCGCTGGCGAGGAGGCTCCCTTCCCGCCCTGCATCACCTGAGCTCATGGCCGGTGGACTTCCTGGCCCTGCGGTGCCCACCTCCCTTCACCAAAGATGCGCTTTCCTGGCTTGGCGGCCGCAGGTCCCGGGTGTGCAAACAAAAGTGTCAGCTGCAGAAAGCAAGAGCAGAGGGGTGGTGCTGGGAGGGGGCGGGGTAATGTTGGCACATATAAAAAAATTATTGGGGAGTAAAAGATTAAAAAATTCCCTGACCCCCTGGTTTAGGGCTTTGAGTATTATCATCATAACCTTGAAGTCAATGCGGAAATGAACCGGTAACCAATGAAGGGCAACCAGAATGGGGGAGATTTGACATCTGGTAGGAAATCACAGCAACGTATCATAGGAGAGTACTGGTTTTGTAGCTTGTCTCTACAGAACACCTTTCATTTAGCATAGGGTAACAAGCCATTTTTCTGTTAAGGGTCACGCTGCGCCAATCTGTCATATCTTGGCAGTGAGTGGACAGGAAGGGCAAAGGAGCTCTGCCTCCCCTCCTCTCTTTGTGCCATCACTTCATTTCTTATCTCTCTCCCCACACACACACTCCAATTTCTTAAGGACTAAACAAATCACTTGCCCAGGGCTGGTGGAAATTAGGGTGATTTCCTCATTTAGAATCATAGGATCAGTTACTATTTAGAACTATGCTAAAATTTATTTGTTTGTTTGTTTGTTTGTTTGTTTGTTTGTTTGTTTGATTTATATCCCGCCCAGCTGGTCTAT